ATCATCGGAAGATTCTCGCTTGCTCAGTTCTGATGTGAGTCTACAATCCCGCCTGTCTGTTGAGGAGTCTCGTAGTCTTAGCACGGATATGAGCCTTCATTCACGAATCTCAGTTGAAGAGTCGCAACGGGACACCTTCGATACCAGCTTGGACACGGAGATGAAGGCGCAGGATGCCAGTTTAACGACGCGTCTGTCGGCCGAGGAGTCGAACAGCCTGAGCACGGACGTGAGCCTGGAGACACGGCTCTCTGTCGAGACATCTCGGGGTGTGAGCAGCGACGTGAGCCTAGAATCGCGACTCTCTGTTGAGGAATCTCGCGGTGTGAGTGATGACTTGAGCCTCGAATCTCGCCTTGCATCGGAGGAGCTTCGAGGGCAGAGTACCGATATGAGCCTGCAGACGCGCTTGTCGACTGAGGAGTCAAACAGCCTGAGCACGGATGTGAGCTTGGAGTCGCGGCTCTCTGTCGAGACATCTCGGGGTGTGAGCAGCGACGTGAGCCTAGAATCGCGACTCTCTGTTGAGGAATCGCGCGGTGTGAGTGATGACTTGAGCCTCGAAGCTCAGCTCACAGCAATCGAGGCAACGGCTGCCAGCAGCGACGTGAGTCTTGAAGAGCGCTTGTCTCTGGAAGAGTCGCATGGCGTGAGCCTCGATGTGAGCCTGGAATCACGCCTTTCCCTTGAGGAGTCCCGTGGCGTCAGCAATGACGTGAGTCTGGAAATTCGTCTTTTGGGTGCGGAAGGCGACATCTCAACTGAAGTATATCGCGCCGATAGTGGCGAGTACAGTCTCGAGACAGATTTGTCCTCCTCAGAGGATGAGATTTCACGAATTAATGTTCGTGTGCTTGGCAACGCCAACCTTATTGCAACTCTACGCTCGGATGTTTCTGCTCTAACAAATGCAACAGAAGAAGCTTTTATCTCGTCGGATGAGGTCGTTTCCACTTTGCAGGCTGTCTTGACCGCCAGTGTGGCCTCTGCTGTCAGCGATGCCGAGTCACGAGATTTATCTCTTGAGGTGGCTCTGCAAGCAGAATCGACAAGCCGCGTGAGCAGCATGCTGAGCTTGGAAGATGCACTTGGTGACGAGGTGTCCGTTTTGGGAGCGGTGATTGGTGGGCTGAACACGGTTGTGAAGCAACATGAATCAGCCCGTTTATCAGCAGATCTCTCGCTGGCCAGCCTTATTGATTCCGTCAATGCGTCATTATCAGAGGAAGTAGCGCGAGCCCTTTTGGTTGAGGATCAACTAAGCTCTGAAGTGAGCTCAGAGGCCTCACGGGCCTTGATCGCAGAGGATGCTTTATCTGCAACAATTTCGAGTGAAGCAAGTAAATTGCAGGCTTCAATCGGTGGGTTGAACTTTGTACTCAAGGGTTTGGATGGGGATTTGGCCAGTGAAGTCTCGCGCGCGGGTTCCGCTGAGGCCTCGTTGACTTCACGGGCCTCCAGCGTTGAAGCCAACATGGCTGCCGAATTCTCGTCTTTGGAGAGTGTCGACGTTGACAACATTGATCGCATTGCGGTTTTGGAGACAGAGGTGTTCGGTCGAGCAGTACTGTTAGATCTTCAGCCCGATGTAACCTGTCACGTTGACAACTGCACGGTGGCCACCTTCCGAGCCTGTGCGACTCAAGCGCGGGCGGACGTGACGCTAAACTCGATGACGAAGCGAGTGCGGAGCTACATGCAAACACCCGATGACTGGGAGGTTACTGTTCGAGGCACAGAAGTGGATTCGGATTCGATCGACGTGGTTTCCATTTATTTCACACCAGTCATCTTCAATTCCTCCCTGGTCTCAGAGGTTTGCATTGACATGGAAGTCTACTTGCTAGATGCTGCTCCATCAAGCCGGCGGCGGCGTGCTGTGGTCTCCGCCAGTGATTACCAGAGTGCATTGAATAGTCAGCTGACAAGCCCCAGCTCGCCAGATGTGAACCAGCTGGCTTTTGATCCGAATGTGTTCTCAAACGAGACAGATTTGACGCTGCGTGTCGAAGCTTTGGAGCTTGAGTTGGCCTTGCTGCGGCAGGAAGCCTACAATCGAGTGGCCGCACAAAATGAAACTCAAAGTGATGCCCTGGCCTCGGCTTCCAAATCGCTGGCCTCGCAGTTTGACGATGCCAATAACTTGGCAAATATCGCACTCATTCTGGGCTGCATCAATGTTGGACTCGTCCTGCTTTTGGGCATGGTGCTTTTCTTCATAATCCGGCAGCGCAAGGAAGCCTCAAAAGCTGAGCCGGAAGAATTGCGTACTGGAGCTTCAGCATATCGACGCTCTCAATCACATCAAGAAGAGGTTCACCCGGTCAACACGATGCATCCGGTGTTCAATTGGAGCCCGGTGGCGGACGGAAGCACGACGCCTGTTCACAAGTGGGCCGAGGATTTTGAGGAGGACGATATTCAGGTCGGAAAAGAATATGTCAATCCACTGCATGAACCGCAGACCTCGGATGATGAGATTGTTACACGTCGAAGCACCAATCCAGTCCAGTCACGCAATGCATTGATGAATGACACCATTTCAGACCTCATTGCTTCCCAAGGTATGCAGAACAGCGATGGTAGTTTTCAGACTGTAGACTTGGATGACGTAGCCAGTCCGAATGGAGCTGCTTATCGACGCAGCCGCGGCTCCTACATTGACATGGAAGGTTTTGATGCAGTGCGTTCAGAGTTGGTGCTCCCGCGTGTGGACGAGCTCTATGAGTCAGAGGATCGAGGCAATTTGGGGCACCCGGATGGAGGCCCTTCCCACCAGCCTGATGTAAACGTTGCAGTTGATGAGAACGTTGCTGCTAGCTCACCAGCGATTGATGGCTCGGATATAACCATTGATCCACCTGCAACACCGGCTTTGCCTGCTCGTGGGGCGAATCTTGAACTAACGGAAGAGGATGCTGAATTTCAGCGAGTTATTGGCGCACTTCAGGGCACAGCCGCGAAGGAGCCATCTCCATCTGAGATGAATTGAGTGCGAAACTGAGCCTGGTGACACGGTGCTCAACTGAAATCTGACCCTGAGCTAACCTTCTACAAGATACTGTATCGCCTTTGCATGCGAACGAAGGATCATCTTGCAGCTTAACTTCATTCTTGTGTTTTGTTTGTTTGTTTGTTTTTGGCGTTTCATTTGCTTGAGTTTTCGTGACCTCTTGGCTCTGCACCTGCTGAGAGCCGTATGTGCCCAGTCAGTTATAGCTGCGTGCACATGCGTGCTTGCGTGTTGGTTGTCACTGTGAATGTGTGAGTTTGACCCCCCTCCCCTTGAGCGGGCCGATGATATTGATGATGCTGATGGCGTAATTGAGCTACAATGGTTTGACTGTGGAGAGTTGATCATATCGAAGCCTTGTGCGACATCAGCATTTCAAATTTCTTCCCTGCATAATCCAGCATTCCACTTGTCCAGTTTCCGTACAAGACGACAACATTCGCATGCCCATGAAATGAAAAAAAAAAAAAAAGTTGAAAATGTCAGACGTTTAATGCACTTGCATTGCATTCTTGTTTGTCAAGCAACTAACTGGAGGAGTTCAAGGGGACGGCATACCCGCAGGGGGGCGGGGAGGGCAGCGTAGGGCGGGTGATTGAACCTTGCCCTGCTCGAACTGGGCAGGCCGTGCAACCATTTTGATGGAGGGCAATGGAGATGCACAAGCCTTGTTCTTCACCTTGGTGCTGATCGCCTCTTGGTATATCTTCTCCATTGGGTACGAGTCACGTGAATTCGGAAAATTGATGGCATGGGCTGAGCTTCAACGGAAAGAATTTGGGCGGCAGAGCTTACGTGCCGCTGGGGTCAGCGGCTTTCTAGACTCATGGAAAAACGCTCGCTTGAATGCTTGGTCACATAGGCTTACATTTTACAACCAGTGGCTATTCGAGGTTGATAGCGGCAAACATTCCGGTATCGCTCGGGCGCTGTTGGACCGCATGGGCTGACCGGCACAATCGCTTGATTTTTTTACTGCTAGGGGTATGGCTTGGAGTTTCCCTTGACCATTACGGCCTGCCATGGCATGTGTACTAGCTTGATTGCCTTTGGCGCACGCCGCTATATCCATCGCCATGACATGGAGAGCATGCCACGCGTCTCTCTTCGCGATTGGATCTACAGTATCTCCCCAGCTGGTTCGTGACCCAATAGGCGACACTATGCTTGCGCTATCTGACCTGGCCCATGACTCAATGCCCCGGCTCTTGCCATGACCCTCAGGTGTCGCAGCAGCCCTGGATATTGGCACATCCAACATGAGCCTCGAGTTCATCAACATCACCCTGTACGGTTCTGATGAGCAGTGACCTCGCGTCTCCGGCACTCGAAACTCGTCGATTGATATTGCCTGTTTGCACATCGCGCGCGTAGTTATACTATGGTCAAAAGCACGGTGGTGATGTGGACGTTGCTTGCCGCATTTGCTTTCCGCTTGGAAAAACCGGTTTGTCGACTGAGCCAGCACTTGGTGGGAAGCAGGTCTAGGGGCAGGTCTTGATCTGTGACCCCATGAAATATTCTAGCATGAAGAAGGCTCACTCATTTTGTCAAACGTAAACCTGCCCTAGACGCGGGATCTATTGGTTGTGGTCGTCGCCATTTCACTCGGACTCATTCTATTTCGCGCAAAGGAAGGTGTTTCCTTTCATTCCATCGGCTTCTTCTTAGTATGTACATTCAAAGCTGGCTTCCAGACGCTCACACGGAGCTGGGAGCCGTCCATCGACTGGGCTTGATGTAACTTGAACAGGTTTTTGCAGAAGGGCCCAGGCTTAATTGGCTTCCCTGCTGCTGTGCATGGTAGATTTTGTGTGCATCCGTTATGGGGGGTCTACGTTGGGTCTTAACCCAACTTGTCATGCAGCGGGAAAAGGAGCGCCTCGGCACGTTGATCTATTGGGCGTGCTATTGGCATTTTGTTGTCTTTATTAGGCTAACACCGCACCTGTGGGGCGTGCTGGGTGATGTGTCTCACAGGGTTGCGACACCCCATCGACACCATGGCTTTTGTTGCGCCTTGTATGGCAATCACGCTTGTGCCCTTTGCCATCATGTTTGAGGGTACGTGTTGACCAAAGCCAGGCAACCCTCAAAATGCCGCAGTACCTCAACCCATGTAATCACGCTCGCCACCTACGTCTGGTAGGGGCCAAACTCTTGCGCTCCCCTCTGCTCTTCTCGCAACTCTCGACGACGCTGGTGTCTTTGTTCTGGGTGGCCTTTGGTGCTGTGCTGGCCTTTGGCCTGACGCTGAGCGAGTTTTGGCTTGTTAAGCATACATCTGGGTGAGCAAGCGCCACGTGAAACGCAGTTGACAACGACTTGCTAGACTGGCTTGCCGCTTGGCCTCATGCGATACCCTTCGCCCTGCCTGCCAGGCTGACCCTGTCCGTGGCAGGCATTGCCAAGGAGATTTTTACCATCATGATAGCCGTCATTTGTGTACCAGGCAACCACCTCTCTACAGTCAACGTTTTAGGGCTACTCGTCTCGATTGCCGGCATTGCCTATTACAACATGATCAAACTCAAAAAGTGAGTGCCAACTGCCAACCAAACGACGTCTTGACTGCGATGACTTTGTGATTGTGTTCCATGGTCTTTGCATAGAAATGCCTCCACCACCTCGCCGCAAGGCCCTGCACCGAGCAAGCAGGGTTATGAGCCAGTAGCAGTGACTGAGACCGACATCGACCGACTTTAGTGAATAACAATTTGAGGCAACACGGCAATCATGCAAAAAATTAAATTTAAATTTAAACAAACCGCCCTTTGAACGTCTTGAAGATGTGGTATACGTGCAGCATGTTTCGGGGGCTTAAGTAGTTTCAACCCAGTCTAAACTCGGCACAGATCTGTTGTGGTCAGTCAAGTTGTTTCCGATTTTTGATTTTTGGCTGTATTTTTTCAACGCATCTGAAGCATCTGAGCGGTTTGTGGTCGTCAAAGAATAAAATTAAATTTTATTTTTTTTGTGGCGTCATCAATGTTCTTATGATTGATTGGACAAGAGCTGGGAGCTGTTTGATAGCTTATACGGACCACGACGAGATCAATTAGACGTAGACCTACAAACACTGCTAGGACCTCAATCTGGATTCAAAGCACGCACATGCACTGCAATACTGTGGAAGAAGAGCTTTAAATTTTGATTTTTTCGGATCAACCTGCGGAAGAAAGTGGCAAGAAAGATGACCGCGGCTGGCCGCGATCTCGAGTAACCTTGTGGGCAGTCAAATTTACTGGGAAATGCGTTGCATTATGTACAATTGTGGTACTGTTTCAAAGACCAAGGGTGGAAACGCTTTTTGCAATCGCATTCGAGAAAACCCCTGCAAAGGCAATGTCCAGGAGGGCGAACGTGTCAAGATTATGATGGAAAGCCCTCACACTAACCCTATAACCAGCGGTGATGTGCACCGCATAGCAAAACTAGCCAAATGATCCTACCTTGATGGTATCGACGATTGTATGATGCTGCTGGTATAGTGCAACATCTAGGGGAAAAAAAGCCACAGAGAAAGAGGGTGGGTTTCAAGGGTTAGTGGTAATGCACACAAGATGTATCTTCGCGTGGGACATAAATGTACCATGTGCCTCAGCAATCAACCACTCAAATTGCTCTGGGCGGATCTGATCTGTCCATGATTCAACTTTGGAAAGGCTGTGCAGAGAGCGGCAAGGGAAATGCCGTCAGTCAAGTGCGACAAGAGATTGGCAGCGACCTAGTTGTGAGAACAAGGGAGCAAACACGCACTGAAGGGAAAGGTCATGCTCCAAAAATCGCGTGACGCCTGACTGCGCTGCCAAATTGCAGGCATGCAGGGTGGCGTTGGGCGTTTGGGCGTGTTGATGAAGCCAACGCATGGCCTCACCTCCTGTGCAAAAACAAAACAAAACAAAACAAAAACAAAAAGCGTCAGCACAGCCGTCACAATTTGGCGGTAGCAGCATCATGGGCCAGTGATGACGAAGCACCTGGGTAGTTGAGCATAGCTGCTCGCGAAAAGATCATGGCACAGCAAAGTCCTCCCAAGAGAGCGCCGATAACGATCAGTCGACCCAGCCACGAGAAGAGAGCGCCTCGTGCCCGAGGGCAGTCCCAGCTGTGATATCAACCAGAAATGAGAAAAAAGCACCATGCTTGCAGCGTTTTCCGAAAACAAGGATGTATCGTCCAGAGTGTGCCGTCACATTCGGCAAACAAGGCTCGCTACGCACAAGTCAGCCAAGCCAATGCCTGCGGCCACGTTTAACAGTGGCAGAACGTAGATGACGAATCTCAGCTCCTGCATAGAAAAAATATCGACAACAGTTGGCAGACGATGTGTAAATAAAAGAGACAGATGAAGGGGTGAGTGCAGGAGAAACGTGGCTGGCAGCGAGGTCACCTTGTGAGGCAGAGCACTATAGAGGCCCAGGAAAGCCAGGCCACAGACGAGAATGGGACTATCGTCAAGCAGGAGCAGGTCGAGCAAAGCAAATGAGAGGGTTAGGCATTGAAAACTATGCCCGTGAAGCCGTGTTGAAATCTTTCAGGTGCGGAAGGTCTCTACACGTCACCACTGACCGGAAGCGAGAGCTTCGCCAGGCGCCCCACGCCACGAAAGGCAGACTAGCCCACAAATGTCGAGGCATGGGTGGTGAACAAAGGGTCATTCGATGCAAAACATTCTGGGCTAGGTGCGTCACGCAAAGGAACGCAACTTACGCTACGTTGAGACTGCGAGGCAGCACGGACAAGAAATACCAGCCGGGCGGCATAACCTGGCACGTACAAGGCGTAGACGTGCCGGTGAGAGCAACGGCTCGAGCATGGCAATACAAGAACGAGAGCAGAAAAAACACGTGAGTCAGAAAGGAAAGAAAACATACGCCCCATTCGCTGCTTTTGTTGAGGACAGTGTTGAACCAAAGCACCTCGCCTTCCGGCCACAGCCAGCGGCCCCAGAACCACGAGTCGATGACAGTGCTGAAGGCTGAAAAAGTATCCCCAGGGTTTGGTAAGCAAGATTCAGGGAAAGCAGGAGCATCCTCGCGGGGCAGGCGTATGATTGAAGATCAGGACGCAGGAGAGCGCACCGATGGTTAAGAGGCCAGTAGGCAGTCCAACGCCCAACATGGTGGTAACGTTGAGGCGCCGTGTGAACAAGGCCAACAGGAAGAGGGGTCCAGCAAAAACAACAAGCTCTATCAAAATTACCACCAGCGCCCAAGATCAAGGCTGGCAAAATAGGAATCATGCCGGCAATGGTTGACGTTTATTCGTACCAGCTCGAAAGAGAGGGACGGCGAGGGCGATGATGGCGGTAAACTCGCGCCAACGGTTATCGATGGCGGCGGCCAGAGCAAAATTAGCTAAATGTTGGTAGGAATGGCGAACATGAGAGGGCGAACATGAGAGGGTATTTGCTAATTGATTCAGTTGTGAATGGCAGGGTGGGTGCAGGTCAACGGCCATGCTGGGATTGAGAATTGTGGCGTACAGCAAATGAGCGCAAAGGTGTTGGGTAGGGTACGCGACATGTAAAAGGGGAGATGAAACTGAACGGCGGAGATCAAATTGAATGCCAGGGCTGCGTTTCGCCCTAGGCGACGTTGCACAGCACGGCTCACGCTCACGTGTCCACACCAAACGAGGACGGCTAGGATTGCACGAGCTACGTGCGGCGAAGAAACAGGACATTGATTGTGCCATAAGAATGAAAGTGCGCTGCGAGTCCCAAATGAGAGTCGAGTAGAGCACCCGGAGACAAAGGACGTACCGGCAAGCTGTTGCGCAAAGCCATCAAGGCTAAAAATATAGTTGAAGAAGCTCAGCCAGGGTGCGACGAGCAAGGCGCCGGTAAACGTGCGCGGCACCACGCCTGGAAACTCATGATGGTCATACTGCGGGCGGTGGCAGTCATTGAGCGGGGGCTTGAAACTTGAGGCAGAGGGAGCTTGGATGATGCTTTCGCACACCACAAACTACAACGTACTGCTGTCAGGTTGCGGCCATGGTGAACAATATCGTAGATGGCTTGTGTGTTGAAGCTCTCCTCGACCTAGGACGGCGCGAGCCAGGTAGCAAAACTTTGTGAGACAGAGTGCGTGGGTGCGTGCGTGCGTGGGTGCGTGCGTGGGGGTTGGTACAGTTTGAGATCAAAAACCCCACCTTGCTAAAAGGACAGATGTAGACGAGTAGCAACACCGTGATCAACACGATCAGCTCGCTCAGGCGCAGCAGAACCCCCATGTTGACGCATCAAGGCACCCTCGATCGAGACCGATTCGGCGCCGACGCAACAGTGGGAATGATCTGACAATCTGACCGGACGTGATGCTGCGAGCGAATGCAGTGAGGTATTAAAATTTAGCCTGAAGAATGATGCAATGGGTCCTCAAAATGTCCGCGACGAATTGTCAGCACCGATGATTTGACCGTTTGTGTGATGCGTAATGACTGGCACACTCTGGCCGTGACCTCATTAATTTCTGTATGGATTTGAACTGTCTAATCATGTGTAAAACAATTCAGAACTAACTGCGGACACTCGGACAAGCCGAGCAGTCACGCAATCCACACCAACCGCATTCGGATGGTCAGGTGCTGCCTGCCACAAGGCTGGTGCCGCGCGGGGCGCGCCTGCCGCTTTCTGATGGGTTTGGTCCGTGTCGTAGAGCCCTCGATGTCCATGGGGACGGCCACCACTCGAAACTTGAGGCGACTTTGAAACACGCTTGGTGCCTTGATGTGCGCATGCACCCGTCCGCCGCGCTTGTCAAGGAGAAAGCATCCTGATCCTGAGCAGTGGGTGTGACTTTGGACACACTTGAGACGATCAATGTTTCGAGGGGAATTGATGGTTTGTCTGGTGCATCGGAGGTCCGGGGGGAGGGGGTACTTCCGAGGAGCGAGTTGAGCGCATCTTCAGTGTTGGCTCTAATTGTTACTGTCAGCGTTGTCCTCAGTCAATATCAAATCTACCTGCTCAAGCCACCACTGACGGCCATCCTTATAGGGTAGAGCGGTGAAGATTCGTGTGCGTATGTGGACACGTTTCTGTGACAGAGAGAAGAAGAGAGAGAAGAGAGAGAGAGAGAGAGAGAGAGAGAGAGAGAGACAGAGAGAGAGAGAGAGAGAGAGAGAGAGAGAGAGAGAGAGAGACAGAGAGAGAGAGAGA